TGTGCTTGTTTGCTATAACTATCAGAGTTGAAAGTGTCTATAAGCAAATTTACTACTTTAAACATAGTTTCTTTCCTTGACTTCATTGTTCTGTATTTCAGACAGAAGTAGGTTCAATCTCTCTTTCTTGCTTGAACGATCCATTGTTTTAAGTAATTGAAGCATTGCCCCATTGGAAACAATGGAGCAAAGGATTTCTTGTTGATGGTTGATCTCTTATTCCATGTGTTTTCCTCTAACATTTACATTGTCCTGATTCATACTCGTCTAGAAAATCTACAATACCCCATTTGGTATTGGAGGGCTTTCGCATGAGCTCCAGAGTTTATTCCGCTCTTTTAGTTCATGCTGAATAATGTCCCATCATTGCCGAACAAGTTCCAGATCTATATTTCAGACCCACAGCTTCTTGAGTTCTCCAACTGTCTTGCAGAAAGGATGGTGGTATATATATTGAGTGAATCAGTGTCAGTAAAACATCAATAAATGTGGTTATAAGGTTTTCTATTGATTGAATGATTTCCCCTTTTATATTTAGTATTAAGAGGTTTGGCCCACAAGTATTGAAGAGCTACCATACACCAGTTTCTATAATAATAACTAATCTGCATTTTGTTTTTGTTTGATTTGAATTTAGATCGTTATTGTCGACTACTGCTTGTATTTATAATCATGTCTCATTTAATACGTAATCGTGAAGGTGAAACTGTTTGGGTTTCAAGTGCAATTGAATGACGTATGAATGTAGGTGAAAGAGAATGCGTTTCACTCCTGTAAAATAGTAATAAAGATCTTATTGGATAGTAAGGGTTGGTTTAATTACTAATTTACTATTGTATTCTAATTATTAGACCATATGTAGCCAATAAAATAACGATACGTTAATTGGCAAAAATGCTAATGTAGATTATATCTTTTAACTATTGAACACGAAACAACCATTACATTAATGCAGTAGTGTACTTGGAATAAGCCCATGTGTCAACAGATGTAGCATAATACGCCTTGAAACCTAGTCGTTTGTCAATCACAAAAAGTAATTGTTATAAACAGAATTAGCAAATAATTTCATTTATAAACAAATACCCACGACAGTGTATGGTATTCCATACGAACACTGCGGATGCTGAAACAACAATATCAGTCATTGTGATTGTTAGTTGCGAAAATTAATCAAGATACTGACAATCAATATATTGAAATACGCGATTTTTAGTCACAATTGCTTACATTTATTATTAGCAACGTGCATGTGAATAGATGATGTGATCAAAGAGCAACTCGTATGCAAGTGACTTTAGTTATTTGTTTTCATACATGGTTAACTCAAGCGTAATATTTTACTTCAGATATAGAACATATTAATAGATCAGTTCAGGCGCTTGTAAAGTATATTTACTATGAATGAACAATACGCGTACTTTATTGCAGAGTTGATGTGATGTAACTACAAGGTTTAAATAATCATGGTCAACTACTGTTGGTGTCGATGGTGGGAAATCACCGTATATGTAGTACCCACAACATAATTTTAAACCAATAGAAATACGAGACGATGATAGTCTTTTTACTAATAAAATTTCTTGTTATGGCTTTATATCGCAAGAGCCAACATTACAAATCAAAATGCCCATAATGAGAAGAAAGAAATTTTACTATCAAGATCTAAACAGAAAGGTATCCAATACGATTTGTAACTAACGATCTAACTTCAAACCCACATTATGTCATATGTAGACCCTTTATAACATGATATCCAAATATAATAATTCAGTAGACAAAAACAAGAAGAAAGGCAGCAGCAACAATTGATCACAAGACAAAAAACCAGCGCAAAAAACTGAATTCCAATAATAGTATGGTCGATTTCATTCGATCTTGAATAAGTAATGTTCAATATTATCGCCAGTAAGTAATGGTTACAGAATATCATAACAAAGTTTGCTTTACGGCAGATATTATCTCACCTTAATCTGGTGTTCCCGAAAGAAACCTCGTTCGTGGGTGCTGGCCCGAGAATCGATAGACCGCTAAAAAAGAAAAAAGAGTCATTAAAAATAATTAAAACAGTGACTAGCAAATTGTGAGCAAGCGCATTTCGTGATAACATTAATTGAGACTACGAACCTAGGGTGAGCGCAATCATTTCCCGGTCCTTTTAGGAGCACGGCGCACATTACCCCAAAATAAACGAGGGCGACGACGAACAGGTGGTATCTAATCAGTCGCATTGTACGGAAATGTGTGTGTGTTGTGGACGGATAATAAGTGAGCGGTATGTTCTGGTGGGTTGGTCTGTCTTTTTTGTGTTTTCGCCGTTTTTACTTGGAACTGGAAGTGAGGACCGGTTATTTATTAATAAAACGTGTTTGCTGCGGATATGCTACTGATATCGAGAAGGAAAAACCTACTTGCGTTTATGGCATCGTTTATGGCATCGTTTATGTCATCGTCTATGTCATCGTTTATGGCATATTATCGAATAATCAAACAAAGACCGGCGTATGTGAAATCCAAAACTCCGCCATTATCAGTTATACACTGTATCTTGTGGACTGCAAATTCTGCTTTTGAAAAACGACAAACAATAGTCTACGCTGAATGTACGCCTTCCATTACACTGGCAGCTTCATCAACTCCGTTATTGTTAAATATATAGTACTCTAATGTATCTTGTAATTGCAAATTTTGTTCTTGAAAACGCATACAATAATCTACGATGAATGCCCTCCATGCTCCGACTAAAACTCCGTCATTGTTATTAAATTATATATACAGTATTTCAATGTATCTTATTCCATTTTTGAAAAGCGACAAACAATAGCCTATGCTGAATGTACATTTCCCATTATTTGTCAATGCTACAAGAACCACTCGCTGAAAAGCCGCTTCGTCAAAAATAGCAAGCATGCGCATTCTCAACAAAGAATGGATATAAAACTAGAAGTTACTTAAATATAAATACGGAATGTTTCACGACAGTAGCTGAATGGAGTGATTTATTGTGACTTGTGCAATACTGATTGGTCGGTCAAAATCTATTGGTGATGGTGCCAACGCCATCAGCCAACCGTTGTTATGCATCTGGTGTCATAAACTGCTGTAAAAATAAAGCTCAGGATTTCTGTACTACAGTTAGTTGGTGTGACCATACGTTGAACATTTCTTGAACATACATCGATAAGAGTGATGATTCAATGAATAATCACTTTTATATTATAGATCAGTTGTATGCGTATATTTTTGTTTATCTGTGATGTAAAATGGGCGTAAATCTTCCATCTCATGCATGATGCAGAATAAAGAATAATGAATGGCAAGCCCCAACTTGAGTCCGAACGTTTGTTCAGACCGTTTCAATAAGCTGCTGGTTCTCTTGTCTTCTAGCCAAATAGCATAACCAACAGCTATCATCCATGGGTATCATTTCACTCTGTAATTCTTGATTTTCTAAACAACTTTTACTTTGTCCAAGTACTCTCTACGCTGCATGGTATTGAACAACGGCAATAATGACCAAGTAGATGATTACACAAGCAAGGAAATATGACCAATGAATAAGTTATAGCGTGATGATAAACCCTTATCATTGTTTCAATATATTTGTTTACTGTATAAATTATAAGATTACACGATAGATTGTACTACAGCATAATGAATACCATTGAGAAAATGCAATCTTTATAAAACGGCCGTTCCTTTGTACGCTCGCCTCATATCAAATCAAAATGAAGATGCTAAAGAACTGCCACACCGAAATGCCAAATGCACGGCCCCCTAGTGTGCAAATTATGCTCCGAAAACCATATGGAGTGTATATTCGAGGCGAGCGCTTGCTTGCCACAAACAAATAAAGTACTTTGGATGGAGATAAAAGTACATCGACCAGGTATTTATCACAATGATAAATTTATCATGCAAAATATGTTATCAAAATAGCCGTATAATGGGTCAGCGGACTTTCTCCAGAAAAGTAAATTATGACATGAGCCAGAGTACAATATACAAATTTTGCATTTGATTGCAAATTTATGATAGAGAAAGTATTCTTGTTAACTGCACAATTAAAGCTTTATTTACATTCTTTATTGTTTTATTTATAGATGTCACCGTGTACTGCCTCCCCTCCCCACGATACCGAAGGCTCACACCAAAAAAAATAATACCAAAACACGGCTTCGTCCGGCGAGGTGTTATGTACCGTATGAAAGCAAGATACCATCAATGGCAGTGTTGCTTGCTTCATTAAAAAAAAATCTCGCATTAGGCGTTTTTATTTCGATATGTATTGTGGTATAAACAAATAAAGAACTATGGCAAAGAAACAGTTGAACGAGTTTGTTGGGATACTTGTAGCTATGACGCGATATACAAGCATGGGTTATCGGATACTTTTATGACATCAATCAGCTCGTATCGATAATGGCTCTTTCTCATATCTCTGTATCGACCCGCAGTTATGATTGATAACGATATATCAAAAAGTCTCTTATGTTGTCAAAATTAGGGCTAGTCTGTCTAAAATTGTTATCACGTTGGTACAACGAACTTGTCTAAATCAGTATAAACGGCGGACATTTGCATCCGTAACTAAGTGCGTAGTCATAGACTTCCGTGTTCATCTCCGACATCTATGTCGTTGGTTTGAAGATGAAAAAACGAATAACTGTTATAAGGTAAACTATATGGTATAGCAGTTTATGTTATTATGCTAAAAGGTATTTATAACCGTTTTCAGGTTAAGCGGCATAAGCACGTAAATGATTTTGCTTCCGGTATTCAGCAGTATGGCTATCGTTGAATAAGACAAATAATTAACTCATTCCGGCCAGTAAATTTGATCTACACAGCAAGAATGGTTGGAAATATAAGTATACCGGTTTATTTCATTGATGATAATAATAATAATGATAATAATAATAATAATAATAAACTCAGTGTCTATAGTTGACACGAAAATATTAAAACTTAAAATGTATGACATTTGGAAAACTCATTTGCTATTCGTTACGCGAGGAAGCATCGAGTTCGATGAGAATAAACGACTAAAGATAGTTGACGTGAAAAGACACAAGTTATAAGAAAACGATACTCAATGGATCGGATTATTAAATAATCAATTATACATACCCGTTTAAGGTTGAATGACCAGAACGGCGTCCTGTTATATTTCCATTCGATGCCTCGCTGTTGATCGCCAATGTTAAATCCATTCACAATACGTTCTCTTTCATCCTCCAACTACAGTACAGCAAAACAATTGCAGAATTACGATCTTGTTTTTACATATGTTTTCTATGTCGTTATATCGCCCTGCATATTCTACTTACCTGTAAACTCCAAACTACTGAGATATAAGTTAACATAGATTGTGTTACGAAATACATGGCCATTGCAAGATACAACGCAGTATCTGCATTACGTCCGCTAAAGGTTCGCGACAGAACAAAAATGATAGCGAAAAATCCGCTGGCGAAAAAAAGTTCGGCAAGGCTGAGCCAAGCAAGTCGGACGGCGATTGGATCTAGCGGTTTATTTAGAGCATCCACTCTCAGATAAAACTCATCCTGAGATATCTGAAGAAGCCGAATGTGAAAAGGTATGACACAATTATAGGAAACAAGCAATTGAACAGATGACAAACGGTAAGGACTTTCAATAACAAAACTCAATATGATCTGTATAGTCTGTTTTACTTACATAATCCTGCAGTTCTGTTGGATAAATCTTCTGGTACATACCGCCAAAAAATTGTGCTTGCATTTGTACGGTAACCATGATGTTATAGTTTAGAGGTTTTTCTTAAAGCTAGAAGCTATTTAATGGGGGAGGTGGATACGCCTTTGTCGTATATTTATGCTGTAAGTCAAACTGCGGTTCGAATTAATGGTGTGGTTGGGGTGATATCAATCCCGTGAGCCTTTTCAACTGCAATAGCTGTTATAAAATATAAAACGTAATTTATTTGTCATAGTTGATATATTTATGTCTATAATGCTCCTCTCCATACGCAGCAAGTATGGTATTTAGAATAATTCGGAGTAAAGGCATCATACATAGAGTCCGAAACGATATAAGTGGGACGTGTTGTGTAATCTACTATTAATATATTATAATTATTAGATAGCGTCATAATAGTCAAAGCCGGACTTTTGCACAAAAAATATTTTCGTACACAAAAGCATTTACAATAAAATTTAGGGGTATTGTCTATGAATCTGCCATCTGCAGATCATGATCGGTTATGGTAAAACACCGATTTTAAAGTCACACTGAAGTGCCATTGAAAATATAAACAGATTCCTGCTTGCTGTCGTTGTTTGGCAATTTATTATTATAAACTCTATGTCTCTTACGCAACAGCACGCAATATCAATTTGATGGAATATGAAACATTGAGAAATCAAATTGACTGACGTGACAAGACTACGACTGAACTTAGTATTAGGGATTTCATATAGCATACAACGTAGGAGTATATATAATTAAAATAGGCCATTTATTAACTATAGAAAATCATTGCACTGCGTCAAAGTTTAAACGTTATATCAACCTCCTCGCTTTCTCGTCAAACACTCAAGGTCGACTCACATCGAAGCACGTCGAATTTCTTTAAGGATGCTACCAGTCCTTGTCTTCTTAAAAGCCACGATAACGGACGCTGATAAAGATCAGCTGAACGACCCTCCGTTTCCCTTATCCCTCTCCATACATAAGTTAATCGCACCCAAAGCGGGCGCGACCAAACCGTTAAAGGCTTATCAAATTTATAGAAGAAACTATGTCGCGGCCCACTCAGGGCCCAATTATCGCAGACTCGACAGACGGGCCTCAAGAAGGTGGTTCATTGAAGGTCCCGCTGTTAGGCGATATTTTATTTTTTTGCAGAACTTAATGGGGAGATATTTAAACGTAGCCGACAGCAACGGTGAGCATGGTTTACACCATATCGTGATTAGTACTTATATCATTTGTCCTCGTTTACTAAAAGTCAACTTGATTTAATTTTGCAGATTTTTAAAAATCCTACTGTTGGCTGCAATGTCTACGTGGGACTGCTGGCGGGGGTGTAAACGCATATCGTGACGGTTGAGTCCCTAATTATTAATAGAAAATTCGTTTCCTTCACTTCGTTCTTTGCTTTGTCTTTCGCTTTAAATTATTATATGAGTATCTTAACATACGTACGTGTACATGAACTTTAAACTGAGTAACAACCATAAATGACACACTGTTATAATATTGTATAGCTAAGTCAATGCAGTATCAGTTTTTGTGACTTTTCCTAGAATTTTGTAATTTAGTATTAATAGTTGATATACCTGTTAATAAATCATTTGTCTAACATGCTTTTTATGTAATGTCGAAAGATCGATGAACAACTATAAACGCATATACCAGAAGCATACAGCATACTTTTCTTTTCTTGGGACATGAAAGAATTTTGTGCAACATACAGTCAATCAAACCTCGGAAAATCGATACTGCTCAAAACCGAATAACTCGGAAAATCGATACTTTCAATCCCCGTGCAATTTATATATAAAAATTTCTCGTAAAACCGATAAACCGATCTTATAATGTAGTACAACATTCAGTCTTAAACGAAAAAGCGGGCCAATAATTATACCAAGCAAAAGGGGCAAAATCTGTCCTTTTCTCAGAAGCATGAGATGCAAAAGATATAGGTATGTTTCATCAACCACAGATGAATAGGTTTGTTACTCATTTTTTTCTTGTTTTATTTTGTCAAAGCTATCATGTTCATAGCATTCTCATTTCAGGATTTACATCGAGCGCCATTTAGTAGAAGGCAGGTTGCACATTCTCAATACTTATACTTGGTACATTGTAACTTCACGATGAGAAGGTTGTGGACGAACCCTTTTGTCTGTCTGACTGCTAGCCAAAATATTTATTCGAGAATAAATATCTTTTTGAAGCACTTTTGTGGAATAAATTATATGAACTTATGAATAGTACTTAGTCGTTCATTGGCAACAACCACATTGGTTTTCTGAGATTTGATTGTAGAACAAATTTGGCTGTGAATAAACAAATGTAGTGCTTAATATTAATTAATATTAATCTACTGACAGCTCAAACATGTCCATATGATTAACATTGTTTTTATTGTATCATTCCATAAACTGATATATTTTTTGTCATAGTTTTAGATTGCATACATAGTAATAGCAACATACAGTGTGGGAAGAAAAAACTTGCCCTCTATATACGCGGGATAAAATGTCGCATAAACAAAAAATTTATTATAAATATCACCTCGTAGCACACTGTTTAGCATATTTCGCCTTAAATTGTTTTGTTATTAAATTTTTTATAAATCATTCTTGAAATGCCTTTACAAAATAAAAAACCTCATCCCGAAATCATCTTACATTTCTGAAACGAGGGAGTACAATCTCCCAAAGAAATTCATAAAATCACAAACATTCCACTCCACCATATCTTAATCTGTCAAACATTACATTAAAAAATTAAGGAAACCAGTAGCATTGAACATAAGAAAGAAAGTGGCCGCCCTAAAAAGATTGCTGGAAATACATCCATTGCTATTTAAGACGGGATCCAACTACATCAACTCGAAATTGGAAGCAAAGTTGGCAGAAAAAGGGCTTAATGTGTCCTATAGAACAATTTCGAAGCATTTGGGTAGCTTGGGTTATTATTATAAAAATAATGTGCCATTAGCTACTCCTATGCTTACCAAGGCACACAAGGAAAAGCAAGTAAAATGGGCCTATGCTCATCTTAATGACAACTGGAATACAAACCTTTTTTCTGATGAGACAGCTTTCCAGTTATTCAAGAATATCATTACACAATGGTATAAAAGCTCATGGCCAATTCACCCCATTCCAAAAACCTGCATAAAAATTTTTGCCTGGGAAAGACAAGCCTTTTTTGCCTTTAGCAAATAATGACTGGACCATATTACGTTGAAATTCTTCAGAAACACTTATTGGAGATTCAACAAATGTCTGGCACTTTCAGCAAGACAATGATCCTAAGCACGCTAGCCATGTTGCTTCAAAATTGCTTTGAGCAAACATGCCTGAGGTCATGGACTGGCTATATAATAGTCCAGACTTCAACCCATAGAAAATTTATGGAGTATTTCTAAGAGAAATGTAGAGAAATGGCAACCAAAAAAAAAATCTTAATTACTATTAACAAAATGGGTTATTTCTCTGGATTCTATTTAACCTCCGAGTCAAACAACGATTATGATTCGCTAGGGATTATTAACGAAAATCTATCGA